TCGTGCAGCAGCGTTTTTCTCCTTACTGTACACGACATAACTGATCAATCTATCTATATATCTAATGTCAACTGTTCTATACTAAACTAAAGACGGATGTGTATCAAAGTTATCTGACGGCAGGCGCGTTTAGAAAAGTCATTTAAGGATATGCATGTAAACTTCATCGTAAACGTATACTAACTCCAGATTCACAATGGGAGCCTCACTTTCATTAAAGAGAGAGAGAGAGAGAGAGAGAGAGAGAAAAGGAAAATCCCATTTAAGATCTCTTTGTAAAATTCTTCCTGCCTGCTCACTTCTCTGTCCCTTCCTTAGCAACTGTTTTTTTTTTTTGCAGTCAGTGTCACAAGACCGACAGCATGACAACATTTTCCATAGGGGTGCACTGCAAAAGGATAGACTATTTTACAGTGGCCTAAGATAGCAACACGGCTAATTCGATGTACTTTTGTATGAGCGTAGTTGGGAATATGCGTTACGATGAATATTGAAAGTGTAAGATTATACCATTTCTTTACTGTACCGACTATGTTTTATCTTTGGCTGACTGTATTTGCGAACCTATTTTAGAGTGGACTGCTGAGCAGCATCGGCTGCCGGTAAAATGTGGGCTACGTAAGGATTAAGGGAGACTGGGTCATATATTTTTTTGAACGACTCGCTGGCCATCATCATAAAGCTGATGACGCTGGTGGTAGTTGCGTGCGTGTGACGTAACGGAGACACGTAAACGATACGTGAAATGGAAAGGGGGAGGAGAAAAGGCACGAGATCCACTGAGCTACGTCAGAGCACTGTGTTAAGTCGGCAGGAGAAACCGAAGAAAGACCCGGATGTTACTTCACAGTAAATTCGTTGTCAAACTTACTCACTAAAGCGTTGGCTTTATCCTTAATAATATAAAGGACAAAGCCAACCCTTTATATTTTTTTTATAAAGGATTGGCTTTATAACAAAATAATGTACAGAGTCAAGGTTAATTATGAAAGCTTATTCGTTCAAGGTGAACGTTACGTCGCTATTAGTTGTGGTCGTGAAAAAAAAGATAGCTTTATTTTGAAACGTATTTATTTAGCGGATTCGCTTTTTTCTTCTACTAGTTTTGCTGATGACGTTAAACTACAACCTCAGTTGTGAGGACCGACGACGATAAATTAAAACCACAGGCTACGAAACAAGGCAGGTGGATTAGTCAGTCTGCTCAGCGCTACTGTTTATTTGACTGTAACGTCCAGGGACGCGATATGTGACGCTCAGCGTCATCAAAAGCGATTAAAGCTATTGCAGACCTGTCAATAGCGCAGTCTGAACGGCAAACGGACACACGGCTCTGTGATGTTTTCACCTTTGTCAGTAAGTATCCTTCCATGTTTAACATTGGAGAGTAAACTTGAGTGAACGTGAATATTTGTGCCATTCCGTGGCTCCCCGAGGAACATTTAAAGGTGACGCCAATGGAGCTGTAAGTATTCACGGTCACTTAAGTTCACGTTTTACACACTTGTATAGCTTATATAATGTAATAAGAGCTTTATTCACACAGCGTGTGCATGCGTTAATGTGTCTAATTTCCACAAAACGCATGATGGCCAAAGCTCTAATGGTAGGTCTAATAAACCTACAAGTTTTCTGAACATAAAAATCTGATGCGTTCACTGACTGTACGTAAAGATCGTGAGATGCGTCGTACGATTTAACTGTTGTCTTATAGCTCAACTCATGCTTCAGTTCAAACACAGCGCTACACGAGCGCACTTCAACCGTGCTCACTTCTTCCGTCGCCACCTCTAACCGGAATAATCTCCATGATGCTTTGACACAATGAACTGTCGAAACCACGGAGTATACTTGACTCGGATTGAGATCACCGATCTGAACGCATAATCCACTTTGGCAATTAACCTTTAACCGGTGCGAAATCAGCAAGGCAAGGTCACCCCTGGGTGCTGTTCTCACCGCCTCCACGGTGTGCCGTGTTTATAACACTCACCATGACTTTTATGTGTCAGCCACTGTGATGCATTGTCACTAACAATGACCATCGGTGTATCCAACAAAAAAATGATAAAATATATCGACCCCTCCGGACAAAAGCAATTTACCCTGCACGTGATAGTTTTTTTGTCGTTTTATAACGGGATAATTTACCGTGGATTTAGATATAACCCAGTCCATTCGTTTTCAGGTCAGTTGTCTGTGGAACACATAGTAATCCAAATATTTTATTTTGCGCATTTCGATTTTTTTAAAAATTCGATTTAGTTGTGCTATTTACCCAGACAGATTTACTGCAGTACTCCCCAACTTCTCTTTTATTCGATTTAGTTGTGCTATTTACAAATTTACTGCAGTACTCCCCAACTTCTCTGATTTAAACAATTTGGCAAAAAAACTTTTTGAGTTGTCTGTGCAGTTTGACCAACGTACAAAACGTGCATGACGTGCACGAAAAGCACACAAGTACAAGTACTGATTTCGATGTATGGAGTATTTTCTCAACAGAACAGAAAACAGTATTTTTATCAGTTACAAAATCATCCATCTGTGTCCTTTATCAACCTGCTGTCTTATTGCTCAAGGTTACAGTCTTTAAAAAAAAACAAAAACTTTTCTCTTTTGCTGTGCATATTGCACAGGATATTTCTTAGGGTCTTATGCTTAAACTTTTTTTTAAAAAAACTTGCTGAGCCATGGATACAAGTACTGTTTTTAAATGAATGCCATTCAAAGATATTTTGCAGAGAGATATAACCCAACTTCATGTTTGACTTTGAGTAAGAGACAAGGTGTTGGCTGTACTCTGTCTGTCCTTCAAGCATTCCTGTGACTGTGACCTTTGGAGTGTGTCATGCAGTGTTAGGGGGGAGGGTACTCAAGGCAATGTGCAGTAATGTGAACACATTCACCGGGATGTACGTTTATTACTTTTTTAAAAATTTTATTTGTGTACAGGGCGTGTGTACATTATCAAAAAAAGTATTGTATTGTACATTGCGGACAGCATACGTATCATTGAAGTGTCACAGCCATTGCGAAAATAACTGTGGCTGTTTTCCGTTTACAGCGGGAGTGTTATTGTCTTTAATTATTTTAAACCAGTGTAACCAGTCAACTTTGCTTCATTTGCAGGTGTTGTGAAGCCTGCAGACCTGAACGCAAGCAGCACTGAGGCTATCACTAGTGTGCGAAAGCTTTACGCTCCAGCTCTCCACGCAGGTACCGCACTCTCACTTCACGTTCTACACAGACAAAAATGTTATGATGCTAAGACATCTCTCTTTAGCCCAGTTTCCCCAAAACATTTCGTTTTAGCTGACAACTGGAATTTATCATTTAAAAATCAAATTTAAAAAGTTGAAGGGGGAAAAAAAAAAAGAGTGCTTTAAGAACAAAATTAAATTTTAGTCTTCACAAAATTAAGTGCTCTAAAACATACTTGTACTTTTGCCCTTGAACAGTTTGGCACAAAAAGAAGCAGCTGTTTTGGCAGGTGCTTCGCAGACGACATACCTTCTGTTACTGCTCTGAAGGTTTTTTTTCCGAATGTACACACTAAAAGATATAGTGAAAAGTGATTGCCTTGCACCTTCAAAATGGTATGTGAAACAACCCAAACACATGTATTAATTGTCCATAATAAGGCAGGTCCTCTTATAATCTCTTCGATGATTTTTAAAAAGCCACCTACTTTTGAACTCCCTCAAAAATCCCTTTAATAGGAAAAAATAGTAGAATAATAATTGATTATGATATTTGTATTTTTTATAATTCAGTGGTGATATTAAAATGATATTAATGTGAAATGTATCGCTATATAGCAGTGCACGTCTACGTGAAGGGTCTTTAGTATGCTTACGTGTGTATATACAGGCACGTTTGTCCTTGTAATTTTGTGTTTTGTAATTGTATGTACAAATTAGGTCTTGATTATTTTTAACAATACATTTTTATTTTAATTTGTAGACATTCAACCAAATATTAGTGTTGTAAACAAAGAATTGCAAAGAAATGTTATAAAATGTATTTCAAAAATGCATTTTTAATTCATGTGAACAAAACATTCAGGTCAAGCAATGGTGCTGACTGTAATGTGTTTCAGCTCCAACACATCCATCCTGTAGCATTTTATCAGCTGTTAGGGAGAACCAGCTGTAGGCCGGCCCATTGTACCCACAGTTAACACGAGCTAGCGACCGTTGCCAGCCTCGGTCTTTAAACGGTCATTCCTGTGTGAAATTTATGTCATGGTATCCCATCGTGGAGCGACTTAAGTTCTGCACTAGCCACCGTCTTCAGGTAAGACGCTGTTTAACGCGGGTTAGAGAGGCAAAAATAGCTCACAGACCCAGCAGCAGCAGAGAGAGACCAAGATTAGCGCTAGCTGCTGCTACAGCTTAGCTACAGTTCAGTTTACTGTTGTTGTTAAAGCTAAATGCTAATGCTTCCCCAAACATTCCGGTTCAATAACGTATAATAACGCTTTTTTGACAATATACATAAAACGTGTCATATCCACCGTCGATTTCACACAAAAAAACACGCCACTATTTATTTTCAATTTTTAATTCTATCGTATGAGTGCATTGAGAAAGCTGCCTACAGATGTTTGAGTGGCCAGAGGTGCACATGGTTGAGACCAGACAGTCGGATATGCTCATGTCGCTAAGTTAATGTAGACAACTACTACCTGTTTTATATATATTTATATATTAATTTGCGGCTGAGCGTTTAATTGAACTTGTAAAGCCAGTTAAATTGACCTAAACTTTAAACTGGTTAAGGTTGCTGTGACCACCATTCTCGTTGCAAACAGGACTACAGTCAAATCGAGTAGGGTCAAACTCCAACATTATACTGGCACACAGGACTACAGTCAAACCGAGTAGGGTCAAACTCCAACATTATACATGTGTTACTAGACTTTTCTCCTTTCTATATAATTACTGTTTGGAATGTATACCTCTAAGAAGCAAGGTTGGCTTATACGGTGTTTCACATGTTAAATGCACATTTTGTATATTTAAGTAATTCAGGATGGTTTAGGTTTTAGTCTTGTATGTCCGAGGCAGCCCCAATGGAGATGGTCTTATTCTGAATTAAGTGAAAAAGGGCTTATTTTCAGGTAATGAAGAGAGCGCTCCCTGGTGTAATTAGTAAAATAATTAAGTATTGTTTGAGCTGTCACTGTGAGAGGCTTCATTTAGGACACAAAATAAGTTCAGTGTGTGTGTTTTTTTAAATTTTTTTAAATACACTAAACCTCCTTCCTCAGCCCCTGAGGGCACACTGCTGTGTTTTGGTGTTTATAGCTGCCATGTTTTGGGTGTCAGCAAAGGTGAACAATGAGAGTGGGGTGGTGGAAACGTTGGGTGATCAAAGTCTGTACTCTTTTTACAGTATGAACGAAAATCATTAAGAGCTTGGAAATGTCTACGAAAAGGCACAGGGGAAAAAAAAGACGACCCACTTCTCAAGAATCCATGCTTTAAGCAAAGTTTAATAACCACACCGATCAGAAAGTTTCGCTCATTGTCGATCGTGTTCCGTGGTCGTGTGTCTGCTGTTTACATTTAAACCAACCCTCTTGGGTAAACTGTAGTTGTATGTGCAAACAGGTTAAAGGTTGGTGTGAGACTTGAAGAAAGATTTGATCCATTGACATGCGGCCATTAATAGGGGCATGTTTGGCAGTCTTTTCAGTCTCTTTTCAATCATAGGTGAATGAATGATTTTGGATTTTCTGTGTTCTTCTATAAGTTTATCACTCGTATAAAACTGACGACGTATGTGCGGAACCTGACGTGTAACGATTATGTTTTCGTACTATCAAAAATGACATTTGCTTGACATCTTCGTCTCTCCCATTTAGGCGTCATGTCTTCCAGAGACCGTCGATCAGACGTCTACATAAAGGCGGAACCCAGTAGTCCAGAGGGAGGCGGGGGAGGCCGTATCAGCCCTGGTGGAGCCTCCTCGGACTCTTCGCAAAGTGGAATTAGGGGCGACAGCACCAAACGTTACTCTCCGCCGCTGTACACACAAGGACTGCGTTGCAACTTTAAAGACGAAGGAGGGGACGGCGCCGACGAGGGATCAACGGGCAACGGAGCAGGACGATGCAAGTACGCCCTGAGCACGCTACCGAAGAGGCTTTGTTTAGTGTGTGGAGACGTTGCTTCAGGTTACCACTACGGAGTCGCATCATGTGAGGCCTGCAAGGCGTTCTTTAAAAGGACCATCCAAGGTTTGTAACCCCAAGTTTTTCCACATTTGAAAAAAACGCATGTGATATGATATACATTAAAGACCCTTTTTTAATATACATTTGAGGATAAATGACTGACACGCTTCATTCGGAAAGCTTCTATTATTTTACGTTAATATTCAGAAGAAAAAAAAGTTACGGTAAAATGAATCACAATTTTAGAAAAGCAATGTTCTCAAAAGACTGACCTATTTACCCAGCTGTGGCACCAATGCTGTAAATGAAGATGGTATCAACCTAAGCCCTTGTCGATAAAACTTCAGCAAAAACAAAAAGCAGAACAAAAGATGTTGCTGCATACTAAACGAAAAAAGGTATGCAAATTTACTAAATATTTTTTAAGGGACAAGATACTTTGTGGATCTTGACCCTTAAAAAATATCTAGTGGTTTTGCGTAAATTATTATGGTAAAAGACGTTATTTAGAACTCGGCTAATCATGTGTCTTTAAACCTAGGAATAATGTTCAGCACATTTTGTTCCTGACCTTTTGTCCTGTATGACAAGTGACCCCTTGGTCTGCTTGTCATACCATGAGTACACCTGTACGCATACATGTCAACGGTTCCTGAAAAAAAGAGTCATATGAAATGTATGACAGTAGATTATTAAATTTAAAAAATGTTACCGTAACATGTCAAATAATACTGTATAAGCTGAAGCTCCACAAAACAAAGAACAGCGAGAGCAAATAAAAAAATGATCATAATCAATGGTCTTGCTGTTTTTAATATAAAAAGAAATAATATGACATTTTTATTCCATTTACCACAAATGACACAATTCTGACACAACCGCATAGTCCTTGCAATACCCCTGTTTCCCTCAAGGGATACGCGTATCTCTTTGGGACTCACCGTGAGCACAGCAACATAAACCAAAATATCTTGCTCCTTGTAGCAGCCCTTGAAAATACTTCAAAGATATATATTGTTTTTTAAGAGGAGATAATATTAATGCCATATTTTAATATTACTTGATTAGATATGCAGCTTGCCATACACTAAAACCATAGAAACCGAAAAGTTGACATGACAAAAATAATATTTGATTTGACATTAACACTTAAAGTAAAAATTGTATTAAAGTTTTTAAATAATCATATATTTTTTTAAAATTTAATAATAAAACAGATGTTGTGTTTTATTGTTTTAGTGAACTTTTAAATGTGTAAAGATATATATATTTATATATTAATTATATATTAAATAAAAGACAAAGATACGTGATACATTTTGTCAAGGCTTTTGGACACACGCAAAATATGTTTGTAGTATTGAAATGTGTGTTTGTGTATATATATGTATATATGTGGATATATATATGTATATATGTGGATATATATGTGTATATATGTGTATATGTATATATACAGTATATGTGTATATATATGCATATATATGTATATATATATAATTGATATACCTACATATACGTGTCCGTGTATATCTATCTTTGTATGTGTATATATATATATATATATATATAAATATACATAAATACAAATTAATTAGTATTATTAGTAACATTATCTGTTATTCCACTGAAGGCAACATCGAATACAGCTGTCCAGCCTCGAATGAGTGTGAGATCACCAAAAGACGCAGAAAGGCCTGCCAAGCATGTCGCTTTACCAAGTGCCTCAAAGTAGGCATGTTAAAGGAGGGTGAGTATGCATGGTGTGCAGACGCCTCGATTTATGTTTGTAAATCTACACCAGGACACTCGTTGTATTAGGAAAATGCTGATTTTTCCAAACCAATCATAAATGTTTTTTTACGTCTCACCACGCAGGAGTGCGTCTCGACAGGGTCCGGGGAGGAAGACAAAAGTATAAAAGACGGCCAGAAGTGGAGAATGCAACATACCAGAGTGCACCTCTGCCGCTAACAAAGGAGAGTGAAAAAGGTCGGCTCGGTTTGTAATGTTACTCTTAACACTATACTGGACATAAATAATTGAAAATTTTGTTTTTTTTCCCCCCAGATATTCTGTTTTCATTATGTCCTGATGATTGTTGTACTGTTACTTTGTATTGTTCTCTTAAAGAACATTGGCTCTGCAAAAAGGTTTTTTAGCTTTTCTCAATATTGAGAACAATTAAAAAAAAAAAAAATAGCCAATCGCTTACTTAACATATCCTCGAAAATCCTAGGGTCTCTCTTTTGCACCAAAAGCTTGCTTCTTTGCTTGATTTAACGATAAGATGTCAATTGATTCAAATGTTTTTAGAAAAAGAAATAGATCATTTGTAAAGCTTCAATCATCAATAAGAGCATTCCATTAAAGGCTTGGAAAACCTTGATTTTAAACAAAATTAACAAAGATAAAACCATTGTATTTCAATGTTGTCACGTAATCTCCTTGCAAATAAAAACGTGCATAAACATTAACTTTTGCTCATTATTAGCAATTTAATCATTTTCAATCCTTTGAGAACGTTTCTTTTTTTTTTTTTTCTGTAGTAACTGTCCTTTCCTTTTTCTCCTTGAACTTTTGAAAATGGATCCTAGACTATTAGGAACACACGATTGCATTTATTCCAGTGGAATAGAAGTAGCACCATCTACTGGCACAAATTGATAGCGATGATTTTCCTCTTCACTTTTGACGGGTAGAAATCAGACACGAATTTCAGATTTCCGTCCAAGCTACATTTAAGAAGAAAATTAATATTTTTTCCTACATAAGTAGTCCTCGATCATTTTGAATTAAAGTAACGTTTTCGGTGTTACAGAAGGCATCCTTTTTTAAATTCTGGTCGTCAGCAACGCAGAGCTGAAACAAGCCCGGTCTGCAGAATTTTCGGTGACAGAAGGCATCCTTGTTTTAATTCTGGTCGTCAGCACACAGAGCTGAAACAAGCCCGGTCTGCAGAGTTTGTATTTTTGTTCGCGCATTACTTATTTTTCCCCGTGGCGTTTGTGTGTCATAGGTTCGTCCAACATCATCGTATCCCACCTCCTAGTGGCAGAGCCGGAGAAGTTGTTTGCAATGCCAGACCCCCTGCAGCCTGACACAGCCCAGCGGACGCTCACCACCCTCTGTGACCTCGCCGACCGTGAGCTGGTGGTAATCATCGGTTGGGCCAAACACATTCCAGGTAAATGAAATGAAAGAGAGAGAGGAACGGCGCTGACGGAAAGTAGAAGTGATGCTGTGGAATACAGCGATGTCGTCTCACTGCCTGTGAAAAAGAATAAGGCATAAAACAGCATCAAATGCTTTTATTACATGTTAATACATACTCATAATTATGGTTATTACATATTGCTTGTTGTACTAAAATTTGATTTTTAGGACCATATAATGCATTTTTATTTTTATACATTTTTACATTTTTATTTACACTATTATCATTTCACTTAAAAGTAATTTGTTATGGTGTGTATTATAGTGTACTGCAGGAAACCTAGCGTTACCAACAATTAGGAAAAAAAATGAAAAGTCCCCGAAATGCCTTTTTTACATTTTTTTTAAATGTCCCGTTTCTTTGTTCCCCGCAGGCTTTCTGTCATTGTCTCTAGCTGACCAGATGTCAGTGCTGCAGTCAGTGTGGCTGGAGGTGCTGGTGCTGGGCGTCGCATACCGCTCGCTTGGTTGCGAGGATGAGGTTGTGTTCGCAGAGGATTTTGTCCTGGACGAGGAAATGTCACGCCTTGCAGGACTGACAGAGCTAAACGCAGCAATAAGTCAACTTGCCCGGCGTTTCCGGTCCCTAAATTTAGATCGGGAGGAATTTGTCATGCTTAAAGCCATTGCACTGACTAACTCTGGTAAGTGTGTCAAGGTAGAACCATTCGCATTCGATTCGTAATTTTGTTGCGCGATGAAATGTTTTTGAAAATTCTGCCCTACTCCTCGCTTACTGTTTCCAGTTTTTTATTCAATAGAGCCAAGGGCTAATTTGTAGCCTGCACCAGTACGAAAAATATTTCACATCTAAGGTTGGCCCGTGTAAGGTGTTTGTAAGACAGTATAGTAAGTTTTAAAATCTGAAATTATTACAGTAATACCTTGAGGTACTGCATAATCCGTTCCAGGACCGAGCTCGTAATTTGAGGTGCTCGTATCTTAAATCATTTTTTCACATTAGAAATAAACAAAAAAAATTAATCCGTTGCAGACCTAAAAAAAAACCCTCCTTTATTAGTGCTAATAACAATGGAAAAAACCATGTTTTTAAGACACACAAAAAATTTGTATTTTTAAGTTTTTCGATTTGTATTCTTTTATTTCGGGCACCGCGCTCATATTTATCAACAATTTTCTGCCTTTATTTCCATGGTCATCGTGCGTTTCTTCTTCTCACTTATATCCTTACCGCTCACTTTCTTATTACTCATCACTATTATGAAGAATAATGTAAATCATTTTTTCACATTAGAAATAAACAAAAAAAATTAATCCGTTGCAGACCTAAAAAAAAACCCTCCTTTATTAGTGCTAATAACAATGGAAAAAACCATGTTTTTAAGACACACAAAAAATTTGTATTTTTAAGTTTTTCGATTTGTATTCTTTTATTTCGGGCACCGCGCTCATATTTATCAACAATTTCCTGCCTTTATTTCCATGGTCATCGTGCGTTTCTTCTTCTCACTTCTATCCTTACCGCTCACTTTCTTATTACTCATCACTATTATGAAGAATAATGCACAAAATAGGGAGAAAATCACATAGATAACGCAATACGCAAAACTCTCGGGAGATGCGTACGGAAGTCGACGAACACCTAGCGTCGGCGTCTGTTAGCGATTACGGTACTCATAGCTTTATTTGTAAGATTTATCTCTCAAAGCAAAAATTTTCTCGTAGGCTTGCTCGTATCTCGGAATACTGTCGGGACGCTCGTATCTCAAGGTATTACTGTATTTTCAGTTTCTTAGTTACCAGGTGTATATATCTGTATGTAGTTGTTATATATCAAATATCTTATTGTATTACATGCCTAAAACGAAATTTAGAAAAAATATATAAAAATGCAATAATTTAAGAAATAGCCATCTTTCTTTGCTGTAGATTCACACTTTGCAATAAAAAAAACAAAAATTGTGGTTACAAAAGTAATATTTTATCATGAGTGCTCGGCCACCTAGCGTCGGCAAAAATTGTGGTTACAAAAGTAATATTTTCTTTTTTTTTTTTATCCTCTTTCCTGTTTCGTCAGACTCTGTTTACATCGAAGATATAGAAGCTGTGCAAAAGCTGCGGGACCTCCTTCATCAGGCCCTGCTGGAGCTGGAGTGTCAGCGGCGGCCCGACGACCCTCAGCGAGCGGGACGTCTCCTTTTAACACTGCCCCTCCTCCGACAAACTGCTGGCCGCGCTCTTACCACGTTCTACAGCATCAAGACCCGTGGAGGAGTACCCATGCACAAACTATTTCTGGAGATGCTAGAAGCCATGATGGATTCACCCTAGAGCAAAAACAGCAACAGCAGCAGCAGCAGAAAAAAAAAAAGAATGTAATAAAAGATTTACATTGACACAAACATAGATCAGATCTTCTAAAGTAGATAAGCGATCTGGGATGATGAGACATTTTTTGCAAAAGGAAAGTAATCAGGTAGATGTTCCTTAATCCCAGAGGCTACCTGAAGAAAGAAAAACCTCGTCTCCGAGTGGTATCGCTCTGCTTTGGAAGTGGGATGTAACTGCCAAACTTCAGTTAAAGGATTTCAAGATACCCGAGTGAATAATGTAACAAAAGTCCCACAACATTCGACCCTATTTAAGTTGCGCCGTCTTGTCACAGCAACGAACGAGGAAGAACAACTTCGAACTGTAGGTACCCCCCCCCCCCCGAGAAAAGACTGCGACTGTGGTTCTCCGATCTCTTTAAGAGATGATGCAACGTCTGCTTACAAAAGCCATGAAAAAAAAAAACAAACAAAAAAAACATTAAAAGAGTACAAGTTTCTAGGGTCCAGGATGGCGTACGACTGGTATGCACATAGAAATGCCCACATTCACTATATTTGAGTGTGCCATTGTAGGCAAAGTCATAGGAACTACTTGCAATATGTTAAAAGCAATATACTGACCCGGTTGTTGTTTGTCACTGAGTAAAAATGTGGATTAAAAAAAAAAACACACACACACACAAACAAAAAGATGAGACGTTTAAAAGTTGTTGTCGGTTTGTTTTGAGTATGTCAGTAGTTCTCCACATTCAGGACCCTAGCTGCTAGCTTCAACTGGAGCCTGGTTTGGCTCAGGGACTCCAGGTCATGGAACCTGGTTATAGAGAACGGAGGCGGGGGGGGGGGGGGGGGGGGTGAGATGCTAGTGTACATACTGTAGTAGGAGCAGGGATCTCTATGAAAGACTGTGCAATCCGAGTCGTAGTCCGGGAGAGTCACGTATGAAAATTGTGCTAATCACACGCTTCTCCTAGGAAGGACGTATATATTCAGTGTTGTATGTAACAAAAAAACAAAAAAAAAAAAACCCAAACAAACCCCCTGTGGTACACAATGAGCTGGCTTACATGTGAGCAAACGTGTGTGTCTGTATGTACGTGTGCATTGAACCAATGAGCTATAATGAAATCAGGGAGGACCGCAGCTCTGATAATGAAGCCAGTGTGGCAACATTAATGATTAAAAAAAAAAAAAGAAAGAAAACAAAGAAAGAAGTAACGCTTAAGCTTATTTTTGACTATTCGCAGCATTTAGCCACTACTTTCAGCTCTGCTCTTTAATAATAAGTGTGACGGAATTCATTTGAACTGTAATGTGGAACATGAAGTAAGTACGATTTATAGATTTCTACTACCGCTGCATATTTTTTTTTTCAAAGCGAAAAAAAAGAATCACTGCATAAAAAGTCAACCTTTGGGTACACACACACGTGCTGAACTTTATCTTTTTAGTAACTGCAAAGCGCTTTCAGGCATCAAGAAATGCGACATGCTCGACATCATTTAGATGTTGACACACTGGCTCGAAAATATTTTCCAAAAGTCCCATGGTACACCTGCTGTTTGAACGACCATCGCAGCGTGCTTTGTGTGCAGTGTAACTGCGTCAGTATCTGATGGCCAGATCTTTGACCATATTTTCCAGGGGAGAATTCATCTTTCGACCTGACCGTGCTGTACAGTTCATTTACATAGACATGCGATTACCTTGATAGATAACAAAGCCAGCAACTGTTATATAAATACAAATCCCCCCCCCCTGCCCCCTAGGACGGTTATTTTCGTGCAGCTCGCAGTGTACAGACCTTTTTTTTTAAAAAAACTTGAAAACGACTTTTTCGTACATTTTCTTTTCAAGTGTATTTTATTTACATTGTGACACACACCGGTGTCGGTTTAGTAGAAAAAAAAAATTGAGCTCATAAAAACTTTTTTTTTTTACGTGTGCAGTCCTGCTTTTTCCTCAAACGTATGGTCATTTAGGGATCAGTTTACGCAGCCAGATGAGGCTACGGAGGGTCAACCTCAGTCGGTAGAAGACGGCAATCTGGCCAAATCAGTGTGAATGCGTGCTCTTCTGATCCTTTCACTCACCAATATGAAGTTTAGAGTATTTAATACAATGGTTGTCCGGTGCTTTTCTTTTTTTTTATACCTGTTTTCAGACTTTGCCGGCTCACAGGGCTCACGAATCATGCTTTCTAAGACGACTCGTTGGATTAATGGTGCAGCTGGGGAAAATACCGGCGGTCGCTTGCAACATTTCTTGTGACATCCGGTGACCTTGGCCCCAGGTACCGGAGCAGTCCAAAGATTCCTCTGATTGACCGATTTTGCTTCTGCAGCTCTTCTATTACTAACAAAATTTCTAGTAGGCTATAGTTATCAGATTTTTTTTTTTTTTAAAGAGAATAAATAGCACCCCGAAATGGTCCCCTAAAACGTCTAAACTGTTAATAATACGAGGGTGAGGTGCTGCGGGCACGCTTCAGCGGTACTGTTAAAGAAAGTCATTTGCAGTATCATATGTATGCATTATATAAATGAGCAATACAATAAATTACCAAACCTCACATTTCCTTGTATAGCCACGTTGTACATTTAGCATTGCCAGTTACAATAAATAGGAAACTAAGGGTTATATTATTTAGACGTTGGAATCAATGTTTGTATTTTAAAAAGGATATTTAAATAATTAAATTTTCTATTTTTTACTCACTTTACTGTTGTTTGTTGACACTGCTTTATTTTCTTTTTTTTGTGTGTGTGTGATTTTTCAGCTGTGAATTTCTGTGTGTAGGCTACTTTTTTTTCCTTCTTCTTCTTCTTTTTCATTTAGATAAAACGGTTTGATGTCTTTGTCAAAACATGTCCACATAAAAAAAAAAAAAAACCACTGTGAAAAGAAGTGAGATTGTCTGCCTCCTGCGTCGAAGCAGGGAGCGGGTTATTGTAGGTGCTTTTTGTTGTGTAATAAACAAGACACCACCACCACCGCCGCCGCATACCACTGGTCTCATCTCTCACTGTGGACATTTGTGTGTTGCATGTGTGTGTGTGTTTGTTTGTGTTTGCAGCTATAATTTTGTGTGTATAACTTTTTATTGTTGCTAGTGTCAATACACTAAGTGAAGGTTTAAAAAAAAAAAAAAAAAATCATCATCGCTCCTGACCCCAAAAAATTGATTCTAATTGCTTAGTGCTTTAATTAAGCACAAGAATTGAAAAAAAAAATATTAGAGGCAATGTCTCTGTCATTGGTGTAGAACCCCAGGGTTCACCTCTTGGGCAAGTTCGAATCCCGGTTAGGGCGGTTGGTACCTTCCAGTGGAGTCAGAGACAACTGACCCCGCGACCCAGTGACGGATAAGCGGATGAAAATGGATGGATGGATAAAACGTTAAATTAGACTCACACTTACATTACCTCTCTAACCCTAACACAAAGAGTAAACAGCCATTACCTGAAGGACTTAAAAGCAATTATGTAAATGTTTTGCAGTGTAGGTGCATTGCTTTTTAGTTTTTAAAAAATGATTTTGTCTCTGTATTCAAAGGGATAAAGTTAATTTTTTAATAACAATAAAATTAGTGCGTTCAAAATGCCCCGTGAAGTTGATGTTTTCTACTAAAAACGGAAAGACATAAGATTTACTTATTTAGTTGTGGTCTTATAGCAACTGTAACTTACAGCACTTCCTGTGGTGCATTCATGATTTAGTGGCCCTTGTCGCTATCTGATTTGCGTTGCGTGCAAACGGACCACTTACTTGTACGGTAACTCCAACTTCATTAAAGGTGAGAGGTGAGTTTTTGGACATTTTAGATGTTACAATATAAAAAAAGTAATTTTGTTGAGAGTTCATTTAAAGAACATTTAATGTTTGCTATGGACGCGTTACTAACCTTGACGATGTAACGCAACGTTTTTTTTTGTTTTTTTTAATTGTTTAATTAAAGATAACGAATATGCACAGTTAATCTAAATTTAAAGTAGAAAGAACTTTAGGTTGGTTGGCAGTTTTAACTGGTGCGGCCCGGCTCGGTTGAAATCCGAATCACCATTTCAAGGGTAGTGTGAGAGTCTGTACACAAAGAGTTGACATGCAGGCCCTTCTGATCCCAACACGCTGTGAGGAAAACCTCCATGTCCTCCACCTTCTCAAACACAAATATGGAGGGGGTCATATGCATGCCTCTTGCTGGTCCTCGTCCTCCATTTTTAGGAACATTGGCTCTTTCAGCTCTCCTGTGAACAGCCCTCAACCACAGTGGCCACACCTTCTGCAGAGATGTTGTCAAACGTCAATGGTTCTTGGTGATGACTAGCAAGTGTTTCACTCTGACACCATTTACTAGGACTGTCAGAGATGTGGACATAATCACTGATGGACCTTGTTGGAGATTTCCTCTTACGGGATCTGGAAGACTCTTGTTGTCTCGCCTGTGCCTTTTCAATGTTGCGAAGAACCTACAAAAACAGAGTAAATTCAATTTAAAATTCTTTCGTACTAGACAATCCGATGTTGGTGGTACATTCAATTTAAAATTCTTTCATACTAGACAATCCGATGTTGGTGGTACATGAAAAGGCGCTGACCTTATCATTCAACGCCTTCATTTCTGTCACAGTGGCGCCGATGTCCTCCTCCGGATCTCCGACCTCAAAAGCATCTCCCATGGGACAGGCATTCATAACCACGGGTAAACGAGGATGCCGATGAAACATCAAGAAAAAGGGAGTATGCCTTGTAGAAGCCTGGATCCAAATATGTTCAGCATTACATAACAGTCAGATAAGTATTAAAAAAAAAATTGTTGAATGACCAACTGAGAGAAACACCCACCTGCAAAGCTGTATTGATGCCGTACACAACTGCAGGTAGGTGGAGGTCCCAATTGTTGTCGTTCTCACTGACGTATTTCCGTATATGACGCATATTTGTTCTTCCATCCTTCGTGTTCCAGAATAGATCAGAAATATATTTAATAATATTTGTTTGTTTCAAGAGTCACAAGACATGCATGTATTGACGTCGGCAATCCATTACCTGCCTGTTTGTCTGCTGCTGACAGGCGCTGGAGACTGAATGTTTTATTCTGAGTATCTCGAAGATTTTCTCATTTAACTGTGGGATGGTTCGGTAACAGGAATGATGGATGATTTTATATGGAAATAAATACAAGTAGCAAGAAGATCACATTGTTTCGATCTGTTAAAAAATAATAATAAACAAGTACAGACAGATTCAAGGAAATGATAGCCCTGTTAAAATAACAAAGTACTTTAAAACATTAAAGGTATTGATTTTTTTTTTTTTAAGAATAGAGCATGTTTTGATAGTACCTCATTGACAAACTCCTCGCCCTGGTCAGTAATGATTTGCCTGACCATGCCAAAAGTGTACATCTTGCCCACGATAGCTGCAGACACTTCGCTTGCACTGTTACATCTGAGGGGCTCAGCGGTAACCCACTTGGTGTACAGGTCAGTCATGGTCATCGCATATTGGTTCCCTCTTGCTGTTACAGGTAGTGGACCGATAAGGTCCAAGCCCACAACCTCCCAAGCTGTGTTCACCTGAGGAAATCATTCGATTAACGTCTTTAACCACATTTCCCTGGGTTCAACAATGAAAACTTCAGTATTATATTCAGTACTGTACCTTAACAGGACGTACGACAGGCGCCTGCTTCCTCCTGGGGTCCTTAAACTGGCATTGTTGACAATGTCTCACCTGAGGCAAGAGATAATTATTTATTGCTAATTTTATTTCATAATCACACAATGAATAGTTAAATAAATTGACATTATTCGTACGAGCCAATAAACAATTATAACGAACCCATTTAGTCACGTCGTCTTTGAGAGTGGACCAGAAGTAGCCAGCGATAACCCTGTCCCTGGTGCCTCTCACACCGTGATGGTTGCCAGTTCCGTGGTTATTGTGGCACTCTACGAGAGCAGACCTCTTTTCTTCCTCGGTCAACACTACCTAGCGCATGTACTGCTTGTTCGGCCCGACGTAAAACAACCGACCATCTACAAACAAATAAAGTAGCCGACAACCTCAACAGCTCCTTCCTACATGGGTATTCCAGTTGTACAACGCCACACAGTACACCTATTCTTTTGTATATACATGTTCCACTATGTGTATATAAACTTGTTTTATTAATCTCTATACTTTCTTTTTTGTTTGTGTTTTATTGTGTTATGTTTCTTTTTATTTTATTTTAATATTTAATTTAATTTAATTGTACCCTATTTTCTACTCCTGCTGTAATAATATTAATAATTTGAAAAATTCCCAGCTTGGGACCATCCAAGTACTATCTGTCTGGCTGTCTATGCAAAAAAATAAAAGCCGAATGAACATACCTTTAATTACAAAGTTGGAAGAGGCACGGCGCATTTCACTTCGCTCCCTGCTGGATAGCGTAGAGTGGAATACACCATTAGCGATGTAATCTCTCAAAAACTGATAAAACTCGAAAGTTTTCATTTTGGCAACGCACATCGGGCAGTATCTCAACTAAAATGATTGAGTCGGCAGAGTCTCTACGAAAGTCACTGCCCAATCTGCATTACCTTCCCGATTTGCAGTATAGTCAAATCTGCGCATGCGCGAATCTCTGCCAGCGACAAACGGCAACTCCACTTGGACAAACTTCATTTGAGGTCATGGTCAAGGTAGAAGAGTTCTGTTAGGCAACTGGACGTGAAGTTTCCTAACAGAACTCTTCACATCGTCCAGTTGCCTCTTCAACCTTCATTTGAGCAATACTTCCCGAATTGCAGTTCAGCCTATTTGCGCATGCGCGTAATTTTGCTGAAGTGCTTAAAGATCCCTGCAAATAATGATTATATCATAATTATATTCCCTTAGAGAACAGTTTTAATGACATTTCCCTGTAAAGTCTGTGTAACTTGAAATGATAACCTTATTATCCATTAAATGTTTTATTTTTGTCGCTGCTCGATTTACGGCAGTCTTGGACAGCTACATATGGCAACGCCAGTTGGACAAACTTCAACAAAGTTGAGTACGCGGTCCAATTTCAGTTGCGTGTGAGAGCGTAGCACGGACAAACAACGAGCGCAAACGCCCCACGTAGCCCCCCTAGGTCTGGTAAGCAGAAATATGCTGTCCCTCACAGCCAACGTCATAAAGAACAACCGTGGAGCTAAGTGTGTGAAGCTGCTACATACGTCTGCTGTGGCCAGAATGCCCATTCAGGTAAAACTATTTGATGTTAGCTGCACTGGCTAAGTGTCATTTTCTCAATAGCTAATGCTTCATGCAAGTTCAGGTCATACTGTTAGGAGATGTTTGTGAAAGGTTGATGTTTACCAATGTGTTTCAAATACTGTGTCGCTAATACCTGAACTATGTGGACCGTAAAGGTAAAGTTTGAAACTGACCTTGAAAAATAAAGAATTTGATATGCTCCAAAATTCTTTAAATTTAACAAATTTAACATAACTTTTCCAGGCACTTGTCAAGAAGCAACTGCCTCACCATGACGCGGAAAAATAATCTACATCTATAATCTTACAATAAAATCATTAATTTTATTATTTTTTATTCCTGCCAATTTTGACTTCACGTGACAATAGTGACACGTATTAACATCTTGTCTCCAGAGTACTATCTATGTAACTCCCTACCTTTTGTTTGCACAAGAGTGTAATTAATTATCTATTTCTTAATGCCAATATAACTTGTTTATTGTACAAACATAAGTAATTTAGTTTGATGCATCACATATATTCTTTTCTATTCTTAGTCTCCAGTGAGCTACTGCTACATTGCTAGTAATGATACTGCTACTGTGTCTACTAAAAGAAGCAGAGGAATTATTGAAAGAAAGCTACTTTCTTGTAGAGCCTCAAAATGATTTATTTTTAACAGCACTAGCAACTCAGTCTTGTTAGCTAACCTACTTTTGTCTTCTCAATCGCCACCAGGTCGGTGAGTGTCTCCCTGCTGTTGAAGTCCAGGAGGGACAGCCAGGCAATAGGGTGGCAATGGATAAACTATTCAAGGGAAAGAAAGGAATCCTCTTTGCTGTACCTGGAGCATTCACCCCTGGATGCTCCAAGGTGAGCTCATGCTAGTTACTCCAGCTTTTACGGTCTTAGATACAATGGTCTTTGCATCAGTTAACCTTTCTTTGATGCTTTCAGACACACCTCCCAGGTTTTGTGAGTCAAGCTGCGGACTTGAAAAAGAAAGGCATTGAGGAAGTGGCATGCCTTTCTGTCAATGATGTGTTTGTCATGGCAGCTTGGGGAAAGGAGCATGGAGCAGATGGCAAGGTAAAAAAAATAGTTTTTAACTGGTAAGCAGTTTTTCTTCACAGCCGCCACGTCAGGTGTATTAAAAACAGAACCCAAAAAAAACATGATCATGAGTCATTATTTAAAGAGACCCAACTGCCATGTCCTGATGTAAGATTTGATGTGGCTTTTTCATGTAGGTTCGAATGTTGGCTGATCCTACTGGAATGTTTACAAAGGTAAAATAACATGTATCATTGTTTACTGTTTGTTGTTTGCTCCATAATTTTGACCCCTGCACCAATATCATTACTTACATGCTGATTTGGTAGTTTTAGAAAGGTGTTGAAAAAACCTCAACTGACTGATTAAATTACCCATAATCTTGGTATTTTTTAAAACTAATTTCAACACAACTATTATTAATTATCATTGAACAACACGGATCGCACTGTGGGAAAGTCTTTCTTTTCTTGAAATATGGAGGACAATTCCAGTTCTTTATAATGACTAAAATGCACAAACTGTTTGAAAAGAAATTTGAGATATACTTTCGCATATATGTTTTGATATATTTCCATATAAATAATTCCATCGTTAGGATTAGTCACAATTAAAAACAGGTGTGAAACACATACATCTACCAACTGGTATTTGTCTTGCTGTTTCAACATACAAGAAAATATTTTTCATCATATTTTGGAATGAATTTATTTGCATTAATTCGTCTTTGTTATGATCATGATTAGTCATGATCATAACAAAGAAAATTTTTTGTGAGGTAATTGTTTTGCCATGAGGTTTTCTTTTATTATTATATGTAGAAATGCAAACACTCGCTAGAAACTAGGAAACAATATTTTTGTTTCCTAGTTTCTAGTCATTTCTGCTTAAAGTTTTTAAGTATCTTGTTCATTAATCAGTTCTTCTCTTGTCTTCTTAGGCAGTTGACTTGTTAATTTCCAATGATCAATTGGAACAGGTTCTTGGGAACAAGCGTTCCAAGAGGTAAGGATTATTCAGCTGATAGTTCTAATATCCTGATATAGACTAAAAAACAACAATGTATTTTATATTTTTAATCTCTCTAAAGTTTAAAATGTGCTTGTTATTTTTCTACAAAGATTGTTTAATCTTTGTATTTTCAAATTTGCCATCCCAATTGTTTAATCTTTGTATTTTCAAATTTATTTTTAAATCATAATTATATTGACAACTTTTGTGAATCAATCAGAGAATCAGATGCCTTCAGTTTGAGGACCACACTTAATCATCAGTTTGTATATTACCTTTGTTTCAGATATGCAATGCTGGTAGAAGATGGAGTAGTTAAAAAGATCAATGTTGAGCCTGATGGCACTGGGTTGACATGCAGCTTGGCTTCTAATATTCTCTCTCAGTTATAAACTAATGCTTGGTTTACTAACCAAACTTAAAAATTATGTAACTGTAAAAACAGCATTAAATTGTCCTGAGGCTACTTTTTTGTTTAGTTTAGTGCAAATTTCATGTGGGAACTGGGGTCAGAAAAAGGTAAGGTAAATGATGCGCACAATAATGACATGAATTGTAAACTACTCAAATGTACAGTAGCTTCTAATTACTGTGACCTGCAAATAAAAGTGGACTCCTAAGCAATATTACCTTTTCATGTGTTGCTCATTGTGTAGTCAAGTTTATTTTCTACAATTCTTCTGTGTTCATACTTCCTCTAATAATTACAACTCTGTTTCAGCCTAACTCCAAACCAACTCCTATACTTAAGTGTGTTTCAAGTAGACATAATTTACATTGTTAACTTGCATAATTTGTTCATTTTGTGGCCAAAACATTTACTAATCTTAATTATTTTTATTACATGTATTATTTTGTAAAACTGTATAATTAGGTGAAACAACCAATCAAAATTTGTTTGGAAAGGGTAGTATTTTTTTACGTTAATCGTGATGTCGCACCATAGCAATCAGTAAACGTTATTAATGAAATATGTCGCACCATATCAATCAGTAAACGTTATTAATGAAATATAATAATAATTTGAAACTGTTTTAAATCTAAAAACACTGTGTAACGTAAACAAGACAACAGTCTTCCACGCAAATATCCCCCTGTTCACGCTGACCCGTGACGTAAGAGCGCACGGTACTGGCGCAGTGCATTGTGGTCGCGCCGGTGCTTGTAGAAACTGAAAACTAACTGCTGCTGTTCAGATATCGGCGACATTTTATCTGCATTGATACACACTAAAAGGTATGTACGAAAAAAGTTACGGTAGCGTGATGGGCTTAAGTTTGCAATGTTTAATGTTATTTAATAATATCTGCTATTTAAAGGCGGAAACCACGTTAACCTGAATTCGACTAGAAGGCGCCTAAACGCCGGCCGCTGCCCCGTGCGTTTGTCGAGCTTACTTGGTAGTGGCGTAGAACATTCTAGAACTATGGTATTCTTAAAATAGGAAACACGTCGGGTAGAGTGGCTAGCGCTGGGAATGTCTTTTAATTCATTTTAGAAGTTTGTTTACGGCGTGACCAGGGATATGAATTGGGCGCGCAGCAGTATTGCGTAACCAAGACAGACACAGTTTGGTAACAATAGGGGGGTCGGTTGTTGAGAAACCGGACAAACGGTAACCTAGTTAGAACCAGAAATAAAATATAATGTAAAATAAAAATAATTTACTAATGCCACAGTTAAAAGAAACCAATAGTAGCAGCAAAAGAATGAGTTACTTTAATGTTATCGGTAAATCTAAACCACGCCCACTCTAAACTATCAGTTTCACTGTTCAAGTACTTCTGCTGTTAAAAGTTGGTCAGTACATGTTTTTACCTCTTACAGAGATAAAAGCAGCCATGTCGTCCACATCGCAGAAGCACAAAGATTTTGTGGCAGAACCCATGGGTGAGAAAAGTGTAACGACCCTTGCAGGAATTGGAGAAGTCCTTGGCAAAAGACTGGAGGAGAAGGGTTTTGATAAGGTAAATTGATTTTTCAATTTTTTAAAAAGCATTATAGGAGAGTACCACATGACACAAGGCAAATGTGGATTGGTGATAAAGGTTATTTGATTTCTTGGTGATAAAATCAAGAGCCCCATGGAACAAATATGTTTCCACTGAACACACAGAAAAAATGTAAATGTATAATTAATATATAGAATCTGGAGAAGCCATTGCAAATACCTGTAGAGTTTGTTTCAGGTATACCATGGCCCACAGGCGTGGGCCATGAGTGCGGGTCTCCAACCTTTTTGAAAGTACTACTGAGCTACTTCAAGGACACTTAGTAGTACGAAGAGCTACTTGTTTGATACAGACTTTCCGAACAATTTAATAATAGGTTCTTGGTCATGCACTGTTAGACACTCTTCTTACCATGGTCATTGCACCCAAGTGTAACTAATTCAAAAGGCACAATAACACTACAATTTTTGACCATTGTATTGACTAGTTTTAGTTTTAGAACAGCACCTTGCTCCTTTACCCCGCAGCAACCTTGCTCTCTGGAACAAATTGCCTAATGGGACGCAGCAACCTTGCTGTATAGTATGGCTCTCTGGAACAAATTGCCTAATGGGACAATGGTAAAAGGGACAATTTGCTCATCAATGCAGAAAAAAATACCTACATGTATCTATATATGTGTAGGCTGTCTAAAATGTTAATTTCTCTCACTTCATTCCGCAGGCCTATGTTGTCTTCGGACAGTTTCTGTTGCTGAAGAAGGACAAGGAGCTGTTCCAGGACTGGTTGAAAGACACATGTGGGGCAAATTCTAAACAACAAGGTGACTGCTTTGGTTGTCTGAAAGACTGGTGTGATGCCTTCTTATAAACCATTCGATTTTTGTCCACTGCTGAAGGCCAAACTGTACATTACCTCTTCAGTTATCTTAATTCATTTCAGATACACATCTTTGTTCCATATTTAATAAAAATAGGGCTGCAGGTTTGAATCAGCTGATTTTATGGTTTTTAAAACAAAAAACAAAAAAAGCTCATGCACACTAGGTTTCCATCCCCCCAGGGTAAATCTCTCTACTGCACCAGCTTCTAATAGGCACTGTCTTTTGCGGTGGTGGAGAGCTGTGCCTAGCTTTTGGAAGGCATGTGGTTTGAGCTCCGTTTCTTAGGTACTTCAGACATGTCTCACCATCACCCCAAACAATTGAGTAAAAAACATTAGGAAAATGACATTCAGAATTTTAGCATTCAAATGTGTACAGTTGAAATCAAACCTGCAGCAGTATTTCCATAAAATATGGTTTTAAAGTATGGACACAAGTATGAAGTCAGCTTCACTTTTACTGAACGCTGCTAGTGTACTTTTGAAAACCTTCACTCTATATGTCCTTTCGTGTTCTTCATACGTCATAGTCCAGTAGGTGACCTAACTGAAAACTTTGCCTTTGTTGTTGAAACTTTAAAACACAGTCATGGTTCTTATCACTTGTTAGGTTTTTTAGCAAAATTAATTTTGTTCTGGACCCCGTTTCCTTAATTCTGTAACAATTGTTCCTAATTCTTTTAACCTTTTCGTATCATTCTGTTTTTTAAGGATTTTGAAGGACTTTTTTGTTTTAATACAATATGTCACAAACATAATGGTAATTCACTAAAGTATAAATTGGATCATCAAAAATGTTTTAAGCAGAAATAAACAATATATGTTTGTAAATGGAAAAGGGCCATTGGAGCATGCAAATTTTAATGTTTTTAAGAAACATAAAATAAAAAAATTAGGACATTTTGAAAATAAGAACCCCCTCACTCCCTTAAATGAATGATGGAGATGAAGTGAATGTGTATAAATAAAGATTCCAGTGGAACAAACCCAAAACTGTTGGATTGGTGTTTAATTCTGATCCATACATCATCTAGTCTTTGACAAATGTAACCCCAGTTTTACAATGATAAGAATTTAGATTTTAACTAAAACATGATTACTTTAAACTTAAACATGTTTAAAAGTAGAGATGCCCTAACTCGGGCAGATAGTCTAGTTTATCTGTTAGGGGAACTATAATAATCTACAGTGCATGTGTAGATTTTGTCGCGTTAGTAATTGCTGGCCATTAGCATTATGTAAGGGAACTAATTTTTCAACTACTGTTTCAACACCTGCTTTTAACATTAAATTGCATTTATATGCATTTTAAGTAAACCTACCATCTGATGGGTTAAATTAACCAGAAACAGTTTTCAATGAATACCGGAATGTGCCTTTTCATTTGATGTTTGTGAGCTATTGACTTGGAAAATCTCAATAATGACTAACAAGATGTGACCGAGTTGTTTAATCTTCACAGTAGCACCTATTCATACACACATCTGCGCGTTCACTCTGTAGTGACTGTAAAATCTCGTAACTTGTAAGGAACTGGTTATGGGATTAGAATACATTCATGAACAGTCTTGGGAACAAGTACTGTATCTGCCAAAAAGGAGGTTAGGGTGAATGAGTAAGTTAACATTTCAAAGAAAAGTAACTCCTGGATGTAAGAACAGTGTTTTTAACTTTCCCCTGTAAAATATTCGAAAACCTTGAATTTTTGGTTGTCGAGGGTGTTAACAACACTTGCTAATGCTAATTTGTTTTTGGGGGTTTCCTGTCATGTCAGTGTTGGAGAATGTGGGTCCATTAAAATTCTAGTCGGGTAGTTATGGATACAAACAACAGTATCTCTGATTCTTTTTTTTTTTTTTACTTCTGTGTTATATCCCCCTACTCAATAATTTCAGCAAAAGAGTTCAAAGCTTGAAGATGAACATGAACTGTACATCGGCAGCATTTATGCAAGATTACTATGGTACATTGATGTCTCGATTGGAAATAGAAGTACGTGTACACACTGTACATACATGTACATTCTGTACAACAGTACTTTTGACCACAACAATCCCTGATTTGTCTCAAAGCAGAGCACAGAAAAACTTCTTCTCCCTAAAGGGGTTCTCTGAGGTGGGCACAGGGGTGATCAGTGGGTCGTCGCAAGCGTGTGCGTCACAGTATGCCATCAGGTCGGCTGCTGCCTTTGAAACCTGCAGGCGGAGAAAATCAAGTCACTACTTCAAATTATTTGTTCACGTCACATGCAGCCACATTTTTTTAAAAATGTCTTTACATATATGTATATACACATTTTTTTTATAAAATAACTTTTCAACATCTGACCAAAAATTACAATAACTATTTAATAATAGCCTAAAGTTCAAAATGGAAATGTTTCAAACATGTAGACAATAACTATTTAATTTAAATAGCCTAAATTTCAAAATGGAAATGTTTCAAACATGTACCGTATCTTAATTCAGCGTTTACTGCCACACACCAGTCCACAATACAGATATGTATATAGAAAAACAGCAGTATATAATATATAATTCACCTCTGGTGTCATTGCACATATGCAGAAGCCCATAAACATAAGGAAAGTTGCCCCTCTATCCGTTTAAAACATTCATAGTGCACAAATAAATGCATTCTAATTACAGAAAAAGTGCATTCCCTGACCGGGAATCGAACCCGGGCCGCGGCGGTGAGAGCGCCGAATCCTAACCACTAGACCACCAGGGATATGAATATGTAAAGACATCGATGTTTATAAGTCTCATACCACATACATATGTCTAAGCATGGCTTACATGACTTAAATAAGCGCGCGTAAAGCGAACAAGGGCGTAAAACAAACAATTGTGGAATAAACGAACTTAAAGCGTTAAGCAATCACGAATGAAGCACGGATACTATTCTACAGTCAAAGACGGAAGGCAAAACGAGCCTCTCATATACCAAGGTTTAAAGTACAAGTACTTTAGAGAATGATCTGTCTTCTTTACTTCTTTTTTTTTTTTGCCACTGTCAATGTCGAAGGACAATGTGTTGATGTAAGGTTGCATTTAATGACATTTGAAACATGACACGAAGCAGCAGCGTTCTAAAAGCCTCCAGAGGAACATATTGACTTTATGTGCAGTTGAGAAGGTCACTGGTGATGTTCTACCTGTCTGTGTGAGTGATGTTTGTGTAAAAGTGCGTTCACTATAAGATTTCGTTCTATTTTGGACAATTTTGTTTATTTTTACTTGTATTGGACCAGTGCAGCCACCATTAGTCCCTGATTCTTTTAAAAACAGGCATTCAATTATTATATATATTGTTTTAAAATATTGTTTTAAGGTTCGATAGAGAGTGAGGTTTGTAATTTGCAAAGAACATTAGCGAATAATACAATTGCAATTCAGCCTCTTTTGTTTTTAAATAGAATGATGAGCTTGTTTTACTTGCCTTTATCCTGCAGAAACTAGCTTCGATCTTCAGTTGCTCCACCAGTTTCCTAGCTTGACCGACGCTCATTGTGGTGTTCACTGGAGTGTCTCCTTTCATCCTTGCCACAATCACAGTAACTGTTATGGATCTGAACCATATGGAAATCACTCTATACCAATGAAACACAATGCATTTCTAAAAGCTAACAATCTATACCTAGTCCTGATACAATTTCCCATTCAGACAGCTAGGTTCACCAAAAGCTAAATTAGCTTCAAATTTGATCATCCTCTGTAAGTGATGACAACAGTAAACCCAATTGTAACATTTTTTTATATAATTTGATATCTATTCTTATGATATGCATAAGTATTAATTGTTTGATTGCTGTCTAAGAAGCATTTTTTAAAGTAAAAAAAACATTTATTTTTTTTTCCACATAATGTACTCAGATGATAAATTTATGTAGTAACAAAAACAATTCATAAACATGCATTAGATCTGGTCACCGTGGCCCACAGACTCTCCTACTATTAACCAGATTAACCACAAAATGTCAAATGTATGGTGACATGAGCACAAGCAAAGCGGCAGACAAGAGATTCGTGAAAACGTTATTTATCAGAATGAGACAACGTCCAAAAAACAGAAATGGAATCAAGTCAATTGCATTTTTAAAAAATGACACGGGAACAGGTCTATTAAAGACATTCTGGACCTTTCCCCGTTGTCTTTTTTTCTTCTACCTCCAGCCTTCCCCCGTTTTCCTTACCCGTTTTATAATCCTCCTCTGGTACAATCTTCCCCCTCTATTTTCGTCCTTTTTTCTTGCCCTTTTCTTTCCTTCTCTGTCCCTCTGTCAGCTTGTGTCTGGTGGTATCAATGTGCAAGGACCCCACCCCTCACAGACAACAGCCTGGATCCTCTGCTGCTCAGTACAGTCCAGTGCACTGCAATTCTGCCACAGCGAGCACCGGCTCTTTGGTGGAAGAATGAGGACCCCCCCCCCCCCCCCCCCCGTGGTACCTGCCAGACATAGAAGTCATTGACAGAGATTTTCTTATGGGATGGGTTATACCATATCTGCTTTTTAAGAATTAGGGCCAAATTGGGTATTTCTGATTCAAACTGTGACATATGAACAGAATAATGTATGGTTTATTCTATCAATTGCCATTTAAAAAACAAAAAACAACAAAACAAAAAACGAATATGAAATATGAACCCTAGAACGAAGAATTCTTGGTTTCATCTGTGTCTTTTGTGATGCACACCCTCTCCTCTGTTGCTATGGGGATTGCTGCAGTCTGGTTTAGTAGTTTATATCACCGTGCGATGGTGAAGCATCTGCTGTTTGTTTTAGAGAAGAATATAATGTGCCATTATTATGAAATTTAACTCTTATTTGTTGCACATTATTTTAAATAAAAATTAAACGTATAATGTCGTAAAGGCTATTTCGGTCAATACGGTCTTAGTAATAACCAAATACTTTCTCAAGGCGAGAACCACAACAGAGCACAGGACAAATATGGCGAACGTGTACCGAAAAAGCTACACATATTAATTTTATTCGTCAAAAGAAATGTTTGTACAAAAGCACACTCAATATAACACATTTTCTAACACATTAAACAAGAAGGCACAGCCCAATAAACGGCCCAAAAATAAAAACATTCAAAGAGTGTCACACGCCATTTTTGTTGAGCCAATAAGAACCTAATGGCGCCATAATGCTGTAGCACGCTTGTCATTATCGGCGGCGACTACTCCGTATTGTTTTACATTCTCTGGTGGCTGTGCCGGCATTGTCCTCTCCGCTTGCCGTATAACGTCACACTCACCGGTCGAGAAGCGCAACAGAAATCAAAAAGGGTGTTTAACTAATAAATGTTTTTAAATGAAAAAAAATACCACAAGTTACGTCTTAAAAAACACTACAAATATTATAATAAAACAAGAATACAAAAACATTGCGAAAGAAACACTAAGAATATCATTAAAGGGTAAAGGTTATTAAATTCAAAGTGTGTGTATATACAAGTTACTGAACGGTTCACGCTTAGAGTGACCACCTGTCCCGCTTTATGTTGTATTGCTCTGCAATTCTAGCCTTTGTCACGCAAATTGAAGCTTTTGTTCCACTTTTTCATTCGACATACCTTATTCAAAAATATTATAAAGCAAATTTTATGTACCTGGCTGTCTATGGGCATGCCTATCAGTAGACTCCATAGCAATGGTAGGCGGTAGCTGACAGGCTAAGTAGTGTGTCAATCAAACTCGCAGAAATCACACACTTAAGCATCTGAAATCTTAGATCGCGTAGGTTTTTTTAATCCCTCCCGTTATACTTCGCATTTCTGTACACACTGCTTGTCCTTGCAATGCTTTTCATCTTGTCCCAGAATATAAGTATATGAATATGAGGAAACGTTGGCACAAGTCGTGCAGTACAGGAACATGCACACGCACACACACGGCTGTCCCCTCATTGTCCCACTCAAACCTGCTACTTGTCCCGCATTTTGTTGGTTTGGCGGTGGTCACCCTATTCACGCATGATGAATACTTAATAACAGTCAAAATAGACTAGGGCCATCAAATGTTAAAAAAAAACTTCATCTTGGGCACACTCAAGCTAATTCCCTCCGCAGAGTCGCTTAGAAACCCCGGGAGCACATATATTAATTAACAACTGCAGCAGTTAAAGGTCTCCATCTGCTGGATGATGCTGGAAACCACGACGTTAGAAAGATATTCAAAACACTTTAGCTGACGTGAGTGTCGTGGTTTTTCGAAGGCTGACATAAACATCCCATGGCCAAATTAGTAGTGAAAAATTAAAATGTGCAAAAAAAAAAAAAAAAAGTAACAGAAATGCCTCAAAATGCAAGGTTATCACCAAAAATATGCTGCTAAGTGGATCACTTCTGCAAAAAACTCCAAAAACAGATCATATCTGAACATGTGAACATGTCACAAAAAATTAGTAAGACTAAATGCTTTAAAATGCAAGACTATGTCCTAAAACATGCTGCCAAGTGTTTGAGTTTGTGTAATGCATGTTTTGGGTGATTTTTG